AAACCTTACACAACCTTTTGATGCAACTCAATAATAAGCAGAAATGCCAGGGTGTTTTTTCTGCTACGTGCACTACATGATTGGGGGGTGGAGGATGGAGAGGAAAGCTGCATCAGCCTCCCAAACCCATCACCGCTCTATCCCAGCTGCAGCTGGCTTGATCAATATGTATTCAGACATCTTCAATGGAAATGTTGATTAACGGTTACTATGCAAAGAAGAGCTCACTACCCATCTTCTCTGAAATCCACTTAGCTAAGTGTTAATGGCAGTCCACAAATCTGAGCAGTATTTTTTAAAGAGCCAGCGAAAAAAGGTAAGTAAGGAGGTGAGCACACTGCAGATAGCACCTTCTATGTCCATTCTTCCCAATACAACCAGAAAATAATCAACCAGAAAATAATCAATAATAATTTGGGGGGGGATTGTTTGTTTGTTTGTTTGTTTGTCTTCTCCCATTACATAATCTATGAGTAAAAAGCTCCTACAAGATTACCTGCTGAGTGGAAACAGGAGGAGCTCAGAATTCGTAATGGCATGACAGTGGTGATTGCTGCAGTAGGATCCTCACCATTGATATGTAACATGCCTCAAGACCAATTTCGCATACACAATGGCAGTGTACATGATGTAACAGCAAATTTAGAAGCACATAAACATATGCTGATGGTGGTTTCTTTCATCAATTTCAAAGTGAACTGAGCTCAGAAACAGATGTAACACGTCCCTATGGTTCAAATGAAACTCACTGGCTCTCTCGATATTTGTTATAATTTCTTTTTTTAATTTGGCTTACTGCCATAACTCAAGAAATTATGCCAAGCGCTTGGGACAAGCCCTTAAGACAACTTATGGCCAACTGGATTTGTGTGCACCATCCTGCTAATTCCATTGATAAAGCTCAAGTGGTGTCCATATTCACATGCTTTCATAATGTGCATGGCTACTCATAAAACTTCCTTTACTTTGCTTTTCCTTTCTTTCTCCTTAAAGGACAAAAAGCAGAGCTGTTTCAAAGTTAAAGAGCAGAACCAGCTCGCCAAAATATAGAAGATCAGAAGATAATGGTTTCCTCACAGAAGTGAACAGAGAGCAGCAACTAGCTACAAGACTCAAGGACAGATTCTTCTTTGCACTTTTGTTACACAGAGCGGGGTGGATGGGTGAAGATCCCACCTTGGTCAATATCTATTCTATCTGCTGAGCTTAAGGGGATATTTTGTGAGACTGCCATAGGACGAAATGAACTGAAAGAGGTAAGAGAGGAAATGTGAGACTTTATTCTGTTTCCATCAGAAAAGTGTCTGGAATAGGAAATTATTCTGCTAACCTCTTCAGGCCGGAGTGGTCATTGTTATCAACTGCTCTGACCTTCCACTCAACAAAAGTTGTTGAAGATCATGCACTGCTGTTGATTTCTGCATCCAAATCAGATAACCTGGCTGAGTTGCAGCAGAGATGGCTCAAGGCTCTTCTCAGAATTAGGTGCAATGCACTGTTCCAATGATTCTAGAGAGCTCACAGTTGTGAGGAACTACCAGAGACCCCAGGAAGGAGGAAGGTCAGTGCAGAGCTGGAGAGCTCTGGACAGGGAGAAAGGACCAGACAAGGTCAGCAGAGGTTCCAGGTTAAGAAGAAGAGCAGTGAACAGAGACTGGTGGTTTTTAAAGGACATGAACTTCACTTCTTTATCTGGACTAGCTCCTAGAATGGTCTGGTACCCCCTGCCCCATCTTACCCCACTCCCAGGACTCCATTCTCTTCCCTCAGTCCCACAGAGGAAAAACAGAATGGTATATGAGCTGGAGGACACAAGAAATGAGGGAAGATCTTACAATTTCTCATCTATTTGGCATCTCAAATACATCCCAGGTGTAGGCTATTCAGCCTGGAATAAGTTTTCATTTCTTCTTCTTTGTCTGTTATATTAGAAATCACCACTTTCTTTCCAGGGTAAACTTATTCATTGCCACTTTATGCTCTGTTGTTCAAACACCAACATTGCCTTTTAGCTTAAATAGCTCTTGCCTCTTTTGGCTACTCTGCCCATAGTATTTTTTTAACTATAGGTCTTGCCAGTTTTTTGCTGGCTTAGAAAAACCAGGCTCTTCCAGCTTCCTCTTGCAAAGCAGTTTCCATTCACCTGATCATTCTTGCGGTTCTTCCGTGCGTCTTTTCTGACCAAATTTAGGTCACCAAAAAATGCACACAGCATTCCAGATGAGGCCTTACAGAAATAACATTTCCCGGGTGGTACTGAACGTGCTCCTTCTGAGACTTTCAAAGATTTGCACCTGCAGTCTTTATGGCTGCAGTACTCTGGTGGCTCAGTAAGTGACACGAGTACTCTGGCCAATCTTAGTATCCCCAAACATTCTTTTTGTCTGTCTTCCCCAATAAATAAGCTTGCCACCAAAATCCCTATCAAGACTTTAATGTCTGTGCTATTTAATAACCTTCCATTTCTTTAAGTCAATTTTTCAGTCATCTAGTTCTGTGTCCTAATCCACAGTCTTGACGATGGCGCTTGGGTTGCTTCATTGTAAAATTTCATAGTCTCAGCTCTACTGCTAATATTTTAAACAACCCAGGACTAATCCTTGAGGAACTCCTTTAAGAACCTTCCTCCTGTCTCACACTGCTTATTTACTGTGTTCTTTACTAACTCCGATTCTTCTATTCACCCTTATCTGCCCCATCTCAAGTGGTATTTTTCCATACAGCACGCTAACAGCTTTTATATGAAGCTTTTTGTCCAGTTTCAGGGAAGGCATGACTGACACCAGCGGAGTTAGAGCAGGAAAGAAGTAGCCCAATTTGTATAAACTTAGTATTCCCAGAAAATGGAGACTGTGAAGCCAGCAGATGTATAGCCAACCTACCAGGGCTGCAACAATTTTCACATAGCCATAAGAGCAAAAAAACTGTAGGAGGCGTAGAGTTTGTCTCCATGTCTACCTCTGCTATCCTTCTGTTGTTATATTACTTAAGACTTGCAATCACATTTCTTTAGCTTAAAAATTTCTGTCTCCTTGGAAAACACATCCAAGCAAGACTAAGCTGATCGGAAATTGGAATAGGAAAGCGGTCGAGAATCTAGGACCAACAACTGCTCCATTCAACGTGGGGAATCTGGTGACCAGGCATGCTCCACACCAGGCTGACTTCTGCTCCAGCCAGGCACGTGGGTGTGATGTCAAGGACACAAAAGAGCTGAGCATGGCACAGCAGAAAGGCGCTCACCTTCCCCTTATGGTGTGGTAATGGTGCACCTTCCAGAGAGCACTGTAGCAGAGAAGTGAACAAAAGGACTGTGGTCCAATTCTGCTCTCACCGGGGATAAATTTGGAGTCACTTCACTGACGTCAGTGGAGTTATTCCAGAATTGCACCACTATAAAAGAGGGCAGCATCTGCTTCCTGAAAATGGATGCCATCAAGCTAATTGAAAATAACAGATGCATCAACAAGCAGCAAGAGGAGACAGTAATGTTCCTGTTTTCTTGTAAAATGCCATTTAATTTCTCTCCAGAGAATGTAAGAGAATAAACCAATATGTACTCTAAAAGCTAAATCTTCTGTTGTATGCAAATTGTATGCAACCTTTTAGGTGAATGGACCAGTGTGTATCTGCAATATCTAAAGAGATCTATTCTAGACATCTGCATTGACAGTCCTCCTCTTTGGGCCTGATTTTTCACTCACAGTTACTTAAATTAGGAGTCACACTGTTCATATCCTCAACAATACATTTATCTAGCCTCAGGTAGAAAGCAGAATTGAGACCCCAGTTTTCTTCAAACAAACAATACCTATGATACCAATTAAATTCGGTAATTTGATTGGCAAATTTGGTTATTAAATTGGTACATTTGTGATTTATAGTACTTTTTGATGAATAGTCTTCCAAAACTTTACACCACTGAGTAAGTATCTTTATATCCATTTAGTGAAAGTGAAGCCAAAGAAGGACTTACTGAACTTTCAATGATATTTCGTATGAGGACCGAGGTCTCCCATGCGTCTCATCTCTAATGAATAGGCAGCAGGGCTTCAGTATTTTAGGGTGACCCTGGAAGTTGATGAGCACTTTCCCTCCTATAAATCCTTTCCCTTCTTCCACTAAGAAAAAGTCGTACACAGGAAAGTTCAATCTATTGCTTCAGCCTCTCTTAATTTGCATGACAGACAACATGGATACTTCCTGCGGTGAATGTTTATTGATGAATGGTTATGCTTTAGGAACATAAAACCCACACTGATCATAGTTATGTTTCCCAAAGTGTAAAACTATACTATAGTATTCAAACCCGAGTGCCAGCCAACAAGTACCAGACAGACTTCCATGCAGCAGGTGAAAACCCAGCCAGTCAGGCAAGGCATATAGAATTGACATGTACTAACAACCATCAGCTACATTGGAAATCAGGGTTACTGCAGTCTCCATCAGCATTCCCCCAAATCCCTGTCGGGGTTATCTCTTGCCTTACACAGGACCTGACCCTGCACAAGAAGAGCTCCTTCTTGTAATTACCAGGCAATTTCATCACCAACTGTCTTTGGTGGCAGCTAAGGACACTCAGCATTCACTGGCAATTGTTCATTTTCAGAGGATTAAGTCTTTTCATCCTGCAAGCACCTGCTCTCCTCCTTAACTTTGTGTGTAAAGCAGATGACTGCAAGTCAGGGATTCAGCTGTGAGCCTGCTGATAATATGGCTACAGATGTCTTCAGAATAGGATTTGTCTAGAGTGCGAGCTCCAAAGAGCAAAGATGAAGAGCTCTGACTGTGCTTTTGGTTACAGCAATGTAAATAGAGCTATCGTGTGCTTACAGGGCTGCAGCTGAGGGCAGAATCTCATTTAGTCTTAAACTTCTCTATGAATTCATCTGCACATTTCTATCATTGAGAGAAAAAAAAATAATAAAATGCTGCTGCTCTTACTTTTGTCAATATAAACTTAAAGAGAAGCTTAACTTTGTTGAGTTTGGTAGACTTACTTGGACTCAAGTCAGATGAGAGCTTTTGGGACAGCTGTGGTAAACTCCTGCTGTAATCTTCAGATCTTTCCCTGATGTAAACAGGACCTCAAGAAAAGAACAAATGAAAATAAGCATTTTAGCCAATAGTACATATCTTTGGACATGATGCAGAAGATTGAAGTTGCAGCCCAATATAAGTGAAGATAGTTGTATTAAATGGAGATTTGCCAACTTGAATCAGCAGATGGTGAGGATCTGGCTCATACTATATTTTTGTAGTTTATAATTATCTTTCTTTCTTCACCTAGAACCCGATTCTCCCTTTAGGCTGCAAATCTTAATTAGGGAATCCTTACTCATTAATTGCAAGAAACTCTTACTGGTTAATTTCACAGATGAAAAAGAAACCTTACCTATCTCTGCTGCAGCAGCAGACACTGGAGCTGTTTGTTCCTTTGCTTTTAGGGTTGATGCTGTTCTTTCCATCACAGTATGGAAGACACTTCAGTCCTTACCCTGTCTCTTGCTGCCCTGAATTTCCTTTACACTCATTCTTCTTTATCTCCATAGGGATCTCTGTACACTGAACGAAAAGGCCTAGGAGAAAGCATGAAGTTCAGTCACCTTCACCTCTACAGCTGCTCTGGCAGTGAATTTTTATCCATGAAACTGCATCAAAAGGAACAGAGTCAAAACAGAAAATTGCCCAAAAATCCCAAATTGCAACATTTTCCAAACAGGAGCAGAACAGGCATTTCCTCTTGGAGGTAAGTGCAGGAATCCACCAGTAACGAAGACTGCAAAATATCACAAAACAGCTCTTCATGGCCTTCACGCTTACAATCTTTTATGTGCTTGATGAGTTGTGGATAAAAAACGGTGTCCTCAGCAAAATTCTTCCTTTCCTTCCACCCCCAACCTCCAGCATGACGATTTCTGCCCCGTCCTGCTTTGGTGCAAAACATCCCGTGGGAAAATTATCTGGGGAACCCACCGTCACAGAACAGCCAAGGGTTTAGGAAAGAGCAATAGTCTCTTCCACCGCAAAACTATTACCTGGTCAGATTGCCGAAAAGAGGAGTTTCTGTTTTTTTTAATGCGATGTTTTAGCTCATATTCGCTGTCACTGAGCACGCAGGTGATGAATTCACAGGCCAGTAGCCCCTCAGCTCCTTGACTGTAAATGCTCAGATTGTCCTTCACACACTCCCCACCTCTCTGTGTGCAAGGATTTACAGACATAAATCCCTTCCCATCTCCTGGTTTGCACTCTCTGCTTTCAAATGCTGATAACTGTCCGTCTGGGGTGGGACAGGACAGCTGCACATGATCTAAGGTCATGAGATCACCTTCAGTAAGCAAAGAAAACAGCTGTAAAGGTAAGGTACTGATATCTGAGAACTGAAAATATTCAACGAGTGCTTTTGCTTGTAGCCAAAGTCACAGGGTAGAGGGAAACAGGCTGGGAGGTTGTTATGGAAACAAGTCCCTGGAGGTGCCTACTTTGCTTCACGAGGATGCGTGCTCTGCCTTCAGAAGGAAATAGCGAGACAGACAGACAGACAGATCTGCATTTTGAACGTCCAGGAGTGAGTGCTAAGGGCTGAGAACTCGAGGTGACGTTTTCGAAAGCATCTCTGTGACGTGACGCCACGAGTCCTCTGTAAAGTCAATGGCACGGGTGGCACTATGTGACTTCAGTCACTTGAAAAAAAATATCTGAAGGCTCCTTAATAAAAACGACAAATTCCAGAAGTTCTATAATATATAGTATTATCGATGATTCTGGGGCTTCCCCTCCTTGCTCTTCAGGAGGTGCTCAGAGAAGGCTCTACATGCCCAAATGAAAGCCCCTAGGCTACAGTTTCCAAGCTTCTGTTGGCTTCTTAGCTCCGGCACAGAAAACCCAGGGATCAACCCCCACCCCTGTTTCCCACATTTCCCACATTTGCACTTTCTTTTCAGAACCGAAAAAACGGGATGGCAAAGAACTGCAGGAAGGATCTCTTGTTTGCAACAAGTTTCCTTGTGCACGCGTGTGCCTGCGTGCACGTGTGTGTGCACACACAGCTCTCCAGCTAGAAACTCCCTGCTGAATTTCACCCCAGAGCAAGAAATCTCTTGGCAAGACCGCCTCTATAAGACACATTGGGATTATGCTACCAGCAATTTGCCTCACATCTCTGGGTTTTTTTTTGCTGGAGTCTCCACGGCCAGCCGTCCATCCTGCTGGTGAGGAGAACAACCCCTCCTGGCAGGGGCAAGGAGGTCAGCCCCAAGGGAAGAAAGGAGCACGGGAATTTTTCTGACGTAGGCTCAGCGTGTCTCATGCCTCCTCCTGAACTTGTGCTTAACCTGAGTTTTTTATATCTCACTTCAGGGAAACTTTTATCAGCTGATAGGCTCAGGCATAAAATAACCCCAAACATGGGCATTCTGCTGGGAGGCGGCAGCAGCCTTACAACATCCCTCTCCGAGAGCAGGTTCTTTTGCTACTTTCTAGTGCATCTGCTAGAGCAACACAAAATTTGAAGAAAAGCCACACTCTGGCACTCACAGAAAAGATTTCATCATAGTGGCCCTGAAACACAACTAAGAATAACAACAACAACAGCTTTTTACTGAACGAACTCAATGACCGAGACAACTTTTTACACAAAATCAACAGAGGTGCCACCATGCTGATCCCTCCTCAGTCCCACTTAACTCACCAGGATTACTTATCCACCAGCTGGTTACATGCTTCAAGGGATGCAGAATGGCTCCCAAAGCCCAGACCTTCGCCTCAGTCCCAAGGAACCAAAGAGGAATTTGGCACCTGTGTATTCAGGCCATCTCCTCCCAGCAGCAGAGCCCTCACCACATCACACTTGTGTCTCCCAGACTGACCGGCAGTAACAGAGACAAGTGGCCTTTTGCTACTTGATTTCAGCGAGATAGAGAGAAGAGAGGTTTCAATAGAAGGTTTGTGCACTGACCCCGAGGGAGATCCCTGCACATTAAAAACCTTTGAGAAGACAACGGCCCTCTGGAGAAATGCAGCAGTTAGTTTGGGTTTACACAAACAACTTCTTCTACCCTATGATCGGGGCCCAGATGAGGAGAGGCCACAATAAAAGCACTCTAGGCACGGAGCCAGACCTCGAGACGACAAAAAAACAAGCAGGGTAACTAAGATGCAAACAGATCCCATCTCACAACCAGTTCTGTAGCCATTTCTGACTATACCACAGCATATGCCTTTAGCATTCTTAGCCTTACGGTTGAAAAGCATAATATATACATATACATAAAATGTATTCTATATATTTTGCATCATGGTATTATGTCTGGTTTATGTATTACATGTGTCACATGCAATATGTAGTACATTCTAATATGCATATCATACAGTATGATGCAAGGCATTAATGGCTGCCTTTGCTTTCATACACATGCACACATGTGAATGCAGAATATACACTTCAATTTAAAACAAGAAAGATATTTCCTCACAGGAAAATTTGCCAATAAGACTCTGACAGCATCCATTTCCCCTTCTCACCCACTGGCAGCATTTGAAACATTTTAAAGTTAGGTGTAAGGCAGAGCTGATTTTTAAAAAAAAAAGAAAAGAAAATACATGGGAAGCAAAATGTGCATCTTAAGATGCCAATCTCTGGTCCTTTGGCAAACCCAGCACTGCAGGTCAGGCTGTGCATTTCGCACTGCCAGCTGAAGTTGCTCTCACAAAACCTAGTGCACACAAAAGGCATTGCTGTGCCTTCCACCCATGAAATACCAAGAACTGGCTGGACCAGTAATACAGCAAAAGTATCTCTCCAAAGCTAGCTGTTTCTCCCCTCGTTTGAAAGGTCTGGGGTACGCTGTTGGGATTTGTGTGGATGGCTCAGGGAAGTTTATATCCGTGCCAATCTCAGTCTCAAATGCTGACACGCTTACCCTGGGGCAATTTATGCCTGTGACCTGCGAAATCAGTGCAATCTCGGGACAGCACAGGTGCTGCTGTCTGCGGTTGGCAGGAGGGGGTTTCAGCAATGTCAACAAAATACCAACATGCAAACTTCCCTCAGCTCTACAAATGCTTCAGCAAAAAGGCAGCGGAGCCCATTGCTCTCACATGCCTGAATACAGGACTGAGTGTCTGAAGCATAAAGTACATCTCATTAAATGCTATTGTGTGGAGATAAACTGCGGAGATAACAAACAGGATTTACTCAAATGTGCCTTGCATCAGAAGGCACTTACCACTATGAAGATTAGGTCGGGCACTATAAAAGCCAATTAACACCAGGGCACTGGCATAAATAAGGCTGAAATAATCACAAAACGGAGAATCTTCACCAAGCCTGTTGATTTCTTTAAGCCTGCTTTCGATAAACGGCATATGGTCACAAGGAACGGCGAGCTTTTAGATCTATGCACCTTTTTTTTTTTTTTTTTTGCAACACAAACCGAGAGGATCTTTAGCCAACGCCAAGGGTTGCAAAGGAAGGAAGGCATCTGCCCGCTGACTTTCCCCTACAGCTGCAGAACTGACTGTGATGCTGGCTACAGCCATTCCATTATTCAAAGGCAATGGCATGGCAGGCGTGACTGATCCCCCAGCCAAGGGCACTGCGCTGGCACAGGAACTAAGGGCACAGCTTGAGCCAGATGTTTATAGCCCCTTTTAACCGTTCGCTCCCCGCCGAACCCTCCAGCTTGACGTAGCAGCAAGGGCTTCTCTGCTAGTGGAGCGGAAAGGCTGGGCTTCAGAGCAAATATTGGATTAAAGCAGTCTTCAAAACCAGAGAGAGACATTCAGGAGGGAGTGGGGGATGACAGCTAGCACTCCACAGAATAAAGCAAGAACGTTTCTGGCCGCACACGGTAATGAGAAACAGCAAATCAGGACAGAAGAGCCCATTATCACAATCGTTCTGTTTACGGTATCACAATTCACAGTCTGGCATGTAAATGCTGAATAGATCCAGCTGCTAGCGGGAAGACAACTGTGCAGCAGCTTGCAAGCTCCACGTCTGGACCCAGGATAACAAAACTGATCACACCTCTGTCAGCATTTTCTTCTCTTTATAACCCTGGTTGTTGGGAGGAATGAAGTTGGAATATTTCATGGACTCCAGGTCTTCTGCTTCCAGGAATTCCGACTTGCTGAGAGACTGATTACTGTCCCCCTTCTTGGGCTCAGAGAAGGGTGACTGCTGCTGGCCACAGGTGACGTGGGTGTACTGGCACTGCTCTTCATGATCCGTCTCTCGGTGGTAGAAGTAGTTGAAGTTGGACACGATGACAGGGACAGGGAGGGCAATGGTCAGCACACCCGCGATGGCACACAAGGAGCCCACAATCTTGCCACCAATTGTCATGGGATACATGTCCCCATAGCCCACGGTGGTCATGGACACCACCGCCCACCAAAAAGCATCGGGGATGCTGGTGAACAGGGAGTCAGGGTCGTCGGTCTCTGCAAAGTAGACAGCACTGGAGAAGAGGATCACCCCGATGAAGAGGAAGAAGATGAGGAGGCCCAGCTCCCTCATGCTAGCCTGGAGAGTTTTCCCCAAGATCTGCAGCCCCTTGGAGTGCCTGGAGAGCTTGAAGATCCTGAAGACTCTGACCAGGCGAATGACTCTGAGGATGGCCAGGGACATGGCTTGCTGCTGGCCCCCATTGTTGCTGCTGCTCCCGGGCTGCTGCTTCTGCTGCTGCTGCTGGGCCAGCTCGGTGCCCAGGGTGATGAAGTAGGGGATGATGGCCACGATGTCGATGATGTTCATGATGTTGCGGGAGAACTCGGGCTTGCTGGGGCAGGCGAAGAAGCGGACGAGGAGCTCAAAGGAGAACCAGATGATGCACAGGGTCTCGATGAGGAAGAAGGGGTCGGTGAAGAAGGGACCGGCGCCTGCAGCAGGGCGCAGGGGCTGCGGAGTCCCGCTGGGTGGCGGCGGCGGTGGCAGCAGCAGTGCCTCGTCGCCGGGATGCGCCGCCGCCTCCCCAAAACCGGGCTGGGCACCCTTGGGCTCCTGGCGAAATTCAGGCAAGGTCTCCAGGCAGAAGATGACGATGGAGATGAGGATGACCAACACGGAGACGATGGCGATGGCCCGGGCCGGCCCGGAGCTCTCGGGATACTCAAAGAGCAGCCAGACTTGGCGTTGGAAGTGATGCTGGGGCAGGGGTTTCTCCTCCTCTTGAATGAAGCCCTCGTCCTCCCGGAAGGTCTCGATGGCCTCCTGTCCCAGCTGGTAGAAGCGGATCTCCTCCAGGAAGATGTCGAGGGGCACATGGACGGGCCGGCGGAGCCTCCCCCCGGACTGGTAGTAGTAGAGGATGGCGTCGAAGCTGGGCCGGTTGCGGTCGAAGAAGTACTCGTTGCGGAGGGGGTCGAAGTAACGCACCCGGCGGCTGGGGTCGCCCAGCAGCGTGTCGGGGAAGATGGAGAGGGTCCGCAGCTGCGTCTCGAAGCGCAGCCCCGAGATGTTGATCACCAGCCGCTCGCTGCTGCAGCAGCTCCCGCCGCCGCCGCTCCGCTCCTCTCCCGCCGCCTCCCCCTCCGTCTCCCCCCCGCCGCCACCGCCACCGCCACCACCACCCGCCCGCGGGGCCGCCAG